ATATGTGCCAAAAGTGACTGTGAAAATAGAAACTAATATCATGACATCACACGGTGGCGATTCTAAAGTTGACAGCATTAAAGCTTTATATAAACACACTAGCCAGATATTCCCATTCAATAGAATTTTATTAAAATTAGAATAAAATATATATAAAATATTAGTATAAAATATATATAAGATAAATAAGATTAGCGAGATGGTTTATGTCTGTATATAAAATATATATTTTTTGTTATTACTGAGTAAATTTGATTATACATTCATTAATTCTTTCATTCATTCATTCATTCAAATAATGTAATAGTGAAAGCCACTTTCATTGTCTTACAGAAGTATGCAAATTATACACCATTAATATAGATTGATGCTGCTGTTTGTAAATGAATCAGTGCTATTACCTCAGTAAATGAATTACATTGGCTTATTTGATTATGTGGACCAAGAGGATGAGAAGACTGATTCACATCCCGTGTGGTATGTGTGTTGGCTTTATATTGCACATCACCCACTGTCAGTATGCTTCTGATTCCAAAACTGGGAGAAAATATGTTTTCTGAGGTTATTACTTCAAGAAGAGTGGAATTTTACAGGATTACCACTGCTTGATATGACAAATACCAAAGGCTACAGCATGTCAGTGTCAGATCATAACAAATGTGATTTTGAAAAACAGATTAAAAGCCTGCAATAAAAAAAACAGGCTTTATATAAATCAGGTTTATTCTGGACAAGAAGTGATCATGTGATGGTTTCCATCTGATAATATCTGAATATGCAATCCATCTCTGTAACTGAAATGAAAATATTGTACGTTTATCAGAATATGTGAAAATGTCTGCAAAATGAATAAATGTTTATGACAAGCATGTAATATTATAATTTTTAATACAATATCACTGCCAGACTGGTAAAGTGCAAAAATGTATGTAAAATGAATTATTTAGTACTAGTATTTTTTAATACTAAAGAATATTTCCAGAAAAAATGATTACCCAATATAAAAACGTCCATGACTTAAGATTACCGTCAAAACTTGTGGACCTTCTTGGATCAGCAACAAACTAGCTGGTTAAACTGGTTTTTGGATGGTAGGTCAACCATAGAAACCAGCTATGTAACGTATGTTCCCAACCAGTTTAAACCACAATTTTCCAAAAAGCTTTCTTTGATTTTTCCAAGCCTGGAAATCACCTTTTGAAAATTCCCTAACAATTTCGGGTTTTTGGGAATCCTGTTAATTGGAGTTAATTATGCACCTGCCCTCAATTTGTGTCCCCTGCGTCTACTTAAACTCTTACAGTGCATTTTCCCAACCGGCTAAGCGAAAAATGGCTACATATGGTAACGAGACAGTCGACAACTATCTTTACTCCTCTTACAACCCTTATTCCTACAAATACCCCAAGTTCAAGGGCTGGAGACCGAAAGCTTACTTCGCCAACTATGGTGAAGGCGAGACCTACTTCGATAATTACCACAGAGCGCAGCTGAAGTCCATCTTGTCTCAGATCAACCCGAACCTCACCCCGCGTCTGAGGAAAGCCAACACCAAAGACGTAGGGATCCAGGTCAACCCAAAGACCGACGCGGCCATCCAGTGCACCCTGGGCCCGCGGACCCTTCTGGCCTGGAAGCGTGATGCCCTTCGCCAGCGGCGACAGGAGGTTCAGACCCCAGGGAGCCCCATCAGAGGCGGCGTCCGGTTCCCGCGCACTCAAGCCGTTTACTCTCCGGTTGAGTCCAGGAGGCTAGTGTCCCTCTTCAGGGAGGAGGAGGAGGAGGAGGAGGAAAAGGACACGGAGCCTAAGGCCCCTGAGACGGTGGACAGCGCAGAGAAGGTGGTGAGTGCTGAGAAAGACGAGCGCAAAGAGGGCGAGGAGAGCGCGAAGGAACCGCTTAGTCCCGAGAAAAATGAAAACAAACAGACGGAAACCGATGAGCAGAACCGAAACGAGACCGTGAAATCCGGACAAGATGAGGCCAAATCAAAGGCTCGCGTGAGGTTCCAGGTGGGAGAAATGGGTTCCGGAAATATTTAGAATCCATTTTGAAATATTCATAAGTTGTTATAACTTTAATATATAACTTGTTTTAATGCAGTTTTTGGAGCAGAAGTATGGCTACTATCATTGCAAAGACTGCAACCTACGCTGGGAAAGTGCTTATGTGTGGTGTGTCCAAGGCACAAACAAGGTAATAGATGGGTAATTAAGATTAAAACGAACATTTTTTTAATGTCCCCCCCCCCCCC